ACTTTCCCGTAGTTTCTTACGAGCTTTTATTGATTATATGTGATGATAGATTGTGAATGTTGGTACCAATAAACTACGGTTTACAGGAGCTTATGCCTCAATTTGTGGCATAAAAATGAAAAGAAGTCGACTGAATGATAAATTACAAAAAAGATTGTTGCGCACATGGATTACCCCGTCATGCACTAGGAAACATGTTGCAGCTTGGAGATTAGCGGTGGAGGTAAGCGTCCAACTTGACAACTTCCTTGAAAACGTTTGTGATGATTCAAGACTCTCCAATTTGAAAAAGGTTAGTGATCTTTATAGAAAACTAGTTAAGGCAAAGAAATATACACGTTTTACTTTAGTATTTCTTTTGATGAAGCTAGCATTGATTTTGCTGATCGTCACGCCCGCAATTGCGAGCATTCTCTGAAGAAATAGGCTTTCTACCCGTTATATAGATATAGCAACCACCTGATAGAACATTCCGATCAACGCTGAGGCTAACAGCACAAGCACGCCCAAACAAAAATACAAGAGAAAATAAGAGAAGAAATGCCAACAATGCCGGATTAACGAAAGCTATGGCACTCTGCGACCGCTGCGCCCACCGAAGATAACCACCACGCTCCAAAGCCACCGAATTGCCGTGTACCAAGCACCACCTTCACGAAGGGACGCAACGATGACGACGCTGCTGCCCGGACGAATTCTAGGATTTCTCCCGGTACACGGAGGGTAGTGGGGGAGAGGGTCACCCGACGCCCTTCAAGAAGGATGGCGGCGCCCGCAGGCGTCACCGCGTCGGTGCCGGCAAGGCCCGAGATGGATTTCTCCCGACCCCTCGCGCCCACCACCCAGGACCAGCCTTCGGCTCCACCACACCCGCCGCCCACCAACATGCGCCAACACAGTCACGAGGACACCGCCGTCGACTCACCACGGGCAACGAAGTGAGGCCGGCCAGATCCCAAACGAGACACCCATAGACAAAGACCAGCAGCACCGCAGCCATGAGGGAGGGAACAACCTCCACCGACTTAGGCGGTAGCAGACCGGGCGTAGCAGCAGATGCACACCAAACCAAATGTCCGGCCGAGCCCTAGACGGGCCCGTGAAGCTCCGCTGCCATGCTGCAGCAGTCGTGGCACAGCAGCCGCCGTCCCTGTCACGAGGAGCTTGCCACAACCACCGGAGAACAACCCACCGCAGCCCCCCCCCCCCAACAGGCCCACCCTAACCCAGATCGGGCCCGTGGGGCCTATATCTGGGCCAACCGGGCGCGGCCGGCCGCCGCCGCCATGGGCCGTCACCGCCGCCAGGGGACAACGCCACCGCACCGCCGACGTCCAGATCCGCGCCGGAACGCTGCCGGCCGAAGCGCTCCGCCGCCAGGACCGCACGCTCGAATCGGGGTCCAGCGACGGGGGAAGAAGGGGGCCCGCCACCGACGGACTGCGGGGCGCCGCGCGGGCAACGCCCAGCCACGCCCGTCGGCGGCAGCGGTGAGGGGAAGGGGGCGACGACTCGCGGGGAGGGGAGGAGAGGGGAGCCGCCCCGATCGCCTCGCTCGGGGAGGGCGACGCAGGGGGCCGAGCTCGGGGGAGGGGAGGAACGGAATTCGGCAACCTGCGAGCATTCTCTGCAATGAAATAGTATCAACAATGAAATAGTATCAAGTCTAGTTTGCACGATAGAATATATAGCCGATGATTCCATGTATTGTTATCTTGTTACATATATTGAAACCGATGTACTTCAGCCTATTAGTGCCCAATGAAATAGTATCAACAATGAAATAGTATCAAGTCTAGTTTGCACGATAGAATATATAGCCGATGATTCCATGTATTGTTATCTTGTTACATATATTGAAACCGATGTACTTCAGCCTATTAGTGCCGAAGCTGGGTACTTACCAAAATATGCATGATCACAAATAGCTGCTACCAAAATATGTTTGTAATAAAGCATTACTTTTTCCGTTCATGTTTAATTTGTGGGTGTGTCTAGAGCACATCTAGATGTGCTCTAGTTATTATACATCTAAGTGAGTGAATCAAGCATAAAGAGAAAAAGAAAAAAAAGAAAAAAAATATTCACACGAATCTCAATGTAAGATCAATGACATATGATTTAGATGTGCAATACTTATGACACATCTAGATGTGCTTTAGCAAAACTGTTAATTTGTATACAAAGTTTTTCTAAAACTTGATGTCACAAGGTTTAGATCCTGGCATCACCAATGACACCTCCTCGCATTGCTCCTAGCTATTCTTCTATGCATGTTCATTTTTTCGCAATGGGTGTTCAAAAACAAGGTGCTTCCGACAAACCGGTGGCACGTGCTAAGAGAAGAAAACGCCGACGATGCATCGGAAGAAGGTTGTGTGTTGAATTGTGGCCAAAAGGCACTTTACCAATATTTTAGTCATGACCATAAACTTGTTCTTGGTTTGGATCATGGTTTTTGGCATGTCAATGCCTCTTTGCCCACCTAGTTCATTTTTCTTGCCAGTGCTTGCTAAATCATTGAGTAGTAAAATCTTGACCAAAATATTAGCAAGCCAAATGTATTTGGGAAGGCAAGCTTAGGCTAAAACCAAATATACAACCGAAGAAATTGACGCTTTGAGATGTGTGTTCCACAATCCACAAGAGTTGGTTTGGTTTTCAGCAAATCCGAATAGACGTCGACGTATACACTGCCTGTCAGCAATCATGGAATGTACGATCAGTAAAGAGCCACGACTACATCACTCACTACCACACACACGTAGACAAACTGAATTCAAAGGATCGACACACTGCAGAAGCTAGCTCCAATTACCCATGGCCTCCGACCACCGCCTCGGTGCGCTCAAGGCGTTCGACGACACCAAGGCCGGCGTCAAGGGCCTCGTCGACGCCGGAGCGACGGCCGTCCCCGCCATCTTCCACCACGCGCCCGAATCCCTCAACGACGCGCCGCATCACCATGACCATCAGTTCGCCATCCCGGTCATCGACCTTGCCGGCCTCGCGACACCGTCCGGGCGAGCATCGGCGGTCGGTGCCGTGAAGGCGGCCGCGGAGACGGTAGGCTTCTTCCAGGTGGTGAACCACGGCGTGCCGGAGGAGGCCATGTCGGCGATGCTCGCGGCGCTGCGGTGCTTCATCGAGGAGCCGGCGGTGGCCAAGGCGCCGTACTACACCCGTGACCACGGCCGGCGCGTGAGGTACCAGAGCAACTTCGACCTGTTCCAGTCGCCGGCGGCCAACTGGCGCGACACCCTGTTCATGGATATGGCACCGGAGCCGCCGGCGCCCGAGGAAATCCCCCCGGCGTGCAGGGCAATCGCCCCAGAGTTCGCAGGGCTGGTGCAGCGGCTGGGGAGCACGCTGCTCGGGCTTCTGTCGGAGGCGCTGGGCCTCCGGCGAGGGCACCTGGAGGAGGACGCCGCGTGCCTAGAGGGGCTGAGCCTCGCCTGCCACTACTACCCGGCGTGCCCGGAGCCGCACCTCACGCTGGGCACAACCAAGCACTCCGACCCCAGCTTCATCACCGTGCTCCTCCAGGACGCCGTCGGCGGCCTCCAGGTGCTCGTCGACGACGACGACAAGCAGAACCCGGCGTGGGTGGACGTGCCGGCAGTGGCGGGGGCGCTGGTGGTGAACGTGGGCGACTACCTGCAGCTCCTGTCCAACGACAGGTTCAAGAGCGTGGAGCACCGCGTGGTGGCCAAGAGCGCGGGGCCGAGGGTGTCGGTGGCCTGCTTCTTCGGGGCGGAGGGGTCGACGAGGGTGCTTGCGCCGATCGTCGCTGACGGCGGCAACGCCCGGTACAGGAACACGACGGTGGACGAAATGGCCAGGCACTACAGGGCCAAGGGCCTCGACGGCGTCTCCTCACTCCAACACGTCAGGATCTAATGAATCTCACCCAAATGTATTTGTCGTGCTTATGATCGGACTTATTGTTTGGGCTTGAATCATATACCAGTACTCCCTCTTTAAAGAAATATCTAAACGCTCTTATAGTATTTCTTTACGGAGGGAGTACATCTTAGCAACGCAAGAATAAAATGCAATCGTTGTACTCTTCCCAATCGCGATATTGTGGTTTGTGGATTCAGTTGGAAATGCAGATAAGATTTAATTCCCTGAGGTGTTAACTAAAACATGTCTAGTACATCTATATTTTGATAAATGGAAGTCATGTATTGCGGAACGGAGGGAGTAGTTTTGATGACTGATTACCAAACACTGGCCTACGGATCTCGCTGATGGAACCAGACCTGAAGAAATCGACGGATAACGAAACTGGATAGTGCTTCCCACAAAAGCTTACATCTCATCGACACTCGGGTGATATATCTTGTCGGTGAACCAAATGGAAGGCGATTTGTAAGGGTAAGCTTCTGCCAGTTAAATTTGTTTGATAGGAGTACTATCTAATCTGTATGTACAGAGTTTAAATGCTTGTGTAATGTAAGCTAATGCACCATCATTCCCTCCCACATGTACTCCAGTTGGGAAGAAGATTGCCAGCTGACCAAACAGGCACTAGTAAGCTAATACCTTCGAACTACAAGGAGATCCACCCCGACTACCCTGAGGCAGTACGTCGGGTGCAGAGCAATCAACTGACATACATAATTTTGGTTACAAGACCATGCATGCTGTTGGTTGCAAGAAATACTATTTGATTTTGGTGAAATAGCATTATATCTCTGGTTAATACTGTATATGGCTATTGCATGTGTTACTTTGCTTCCAGCTTAATCATTCTCGTTTAGAACATTTCAAGCAGAAGATATAAGGCCTACAAAAGCATCAGAAATTTCAGAATCAGAGGCAACTCTTATTAGGGCACAAGCTCCCATGAAGCCAATGTCAGAGGTTCTATCAGGAACTTATTCCAATTGATACCACATCACATACAACACCGCAGGCAGGGAAGAAACCATCTTAATTACAGTGAGCTTAACACCATGGATCTCCAGCTGCATATGCACCCTACACCCTTCGTCCTAGATCCATATGTCAGAGGTGCAGTCTCCCCCAGGATATCTCATTTCATGGGCCAATGAGGGACCTTCAGGCTCGGTGCCAAAATCCACAAAGAAGTCGGGGTTGACAGTCAGCCCTCCTTCCTCGGTGTCGACGTCGATCTGCAACATGTGAGATCCCTTCTTGAGAAGGTCAGGGCCATAGAACTGCTCGTCCCATCGGCTGAAGAGAGAGTTGGTTACATAGACCCTCTTGCCATCCAAGCTCAGCTGAATCATCTGCGGCCCACCTCTAAGCCGGTGCCCCTGAATACAAGACACATGGTATGTCAGAGTAATGTTGAGTGACTAGAAATAAATACTCCCTCCGTCCCAAAATTCTTGTCTTAGATTTGTCTAGATATGGATGTATCTAATACTAAAACGTGAGTTGATACATCCCTATTTAGAAAAATCTAAGACAAGAATTTTGGGACGGAAGGAGTATGTTCCAAATATTGCAGTTTCATTGGATCATTCGGTTTAGTTGAGAATAAGTATAGCAGCATTGCAAGCTGGATGTGTTCCAGTTGGTACTTGAATCACCCATCAGTTGAACTATATATAACCAGTATTGAATTGTAACTCTGGTTATTTTTTAATAAAAGATACAGAAGATATTCTGAAGAATGTAACTTATGTACCAAGCCATTAAGATTTAAGAGGAGTACTGTAGAGTTTACCTTGACTTGGGGCACAGCATACTGCTCTTCTTTGTCATCGTCGGTCACATAGACAACATCACTGCCCTTTTGAAGAAGCCCACCTACAAATACTTGCCCAGCCAACACAGGCTTTGCAGGGTCCTCAATGTTGTACTGCCTGATATCCCCATGAAGCCAGTTGACCAAGTAGAGATAACGGTCATCGAGAGAGATGACAAAGTCAGTTATCAATCCTGGCATTTCTGGCAGCATCCAGTTGCGCACCTTCAGTGGCTCTATGGATATAGCTACCTACAAATACAGGCACAAGAAGTGTAAATAAAATGAAAATAAACTTCATTATGTGTGAAAGAAGTAGGCATTAGCATGTCATTGCGGACAAACCTCATGGCTCCATGATCCATCTGCAGTTTTGAAGAATCTCACCATGTTGCTTGTCAAAGCACAGCCAACATAGCCAGTGTCCTTTGATGGGTCATGTAAAAACCTCACCTGCAGAGAAGATAAAAAGAGAACTATGGTTATAGGATAATTATTAGACCCCTATACTCTTGGTACTTGATAGTTGATACACACCTCCAGTGGAAGAAGACCTGTGCTGCCTAGATCCAGTGTCTGCTTGAGCTCACCACCAGGCCAGTCATACACATGCAGGTGCCTTCCATAGAGACCATCCTGGACATGCTGGAGATCGAAACCTGTCCTGAAAGCTGCCGGAGCTCCCCATGAAGAGCTAATCATCGTCTTGTGACGAGGCTGGTACCAGAAATCATAGCCAAACAAGGGGCTGTGACCTGGCTTTTCCCAACTACAAGTAGCAAATAGTTAAATCAGTACAGTTGGAGCCACTGAAAACTGTCTGTTTCGGAAAAGTAAGGCATCAATAATAGGAGTACTAAAGTTTTTCAAAGCTGAAATATTACTGAAGATTTTGTAATATGTAAATCAGGATGGAGTGGTTGGATGATTCTGATATGCTGAGATGGTTTCATGATGAAGTGACAATATGTTACAGCATGCATTTTGAGCATATGTTATGTTTCCATGTCAATGGTACCCAGATTGTGGGCAAAAAACTTACCGCCCTTTGACGTTAAACTCTGAATCCAACAGGAGAAAGCCATTGCCAGCAGCATTGCCCTCCTTGTCTCCCAGGCAGGAAATCATGATATCCCCAGTTGCAAGGCAATGGGATGTGTGAGGGAACCCAAGCCCGGTCTTCTCAGCAATGTCCTCAGCCTGGACAACCTTGTGCAGAGCAGGCGCCCTCGGATCCTTTGCAGTGTCGACCACATACACGCGACCAGACCTGTGAACAACCAGCAGATCAGCATTTCAAAACTGAGCTAAAATTCAACCGTTCATTCATCTGATTACTCACAGCAACGAAGGGAGAATCAAGAAGCGCCGGCTCGTGGATGGATCACCATGGCAGGAGCTGCAAGCGTTCCAGCCGGAGTGATGCAGCTCGTCGCCGATGTGGGTGGCCGGGAGCCTGTGGATCACCTGGGAGTAGGTCGCTGAATTGGGGTCGACGTCCACTGTAGCCAGGTAATCCGGCTTGTTGATTCCAGTACCTGCAAAATTCAGTTCAATCAGGCAATCAGCAAGACTTCACACAATCAGGCAATCAACCTGTACAAAGGCACACCCGTACATCTCTTCTCATGCTCACATGGTTTGTTCTGCCTTCAGAAACTGCCATGAAGACAGGCCATGTGAAGCTCAGAAACAGACAGGGACTGAACTAGACGGTTCTGAATGATCCACGACTCAGCCAACTTGGACACTTGTGTAACAGCAAATGGCAGTTTCTGCCATGGAGGGCACATGCATGCTGCGTGCATATGTACAGTAGTAGCAGTACATATCAGAATTAAAGCCGGTCTATATGGTTAGACACTACATTACACCCATTACATTAAGTTGGACGGGCTAAAAATACTCCAGCCCAGTGTCTACACCATAGCACGAAAAATTGCACATCTCTGACGAAAAGAAACTGCCATATGCAGAGTAATTGGAGATCTGAACCAAGGCTCTCTTTTCTTTTTTGCGTGGACCAAGGCTTATTATTAGGAAGTTAGAATAGCAAAGCATATGCCAATATTCTTCTTGTCCTCATTTAGTCATCTCTGACACCCATATTAGGAATTTAATATGTTTACTCATTTGATTCAAATATTACTAGGATTTTAATCCTGGAAGTCTCACTTTCTCGATTAGGAGTAATATGGAATCTGAGTACATTAGAAAGAGACTTCCAGGATTAAATTAAGTGGCATGTCCATCTCGGATTCTCAGTCCAGTCCAGGTTAAGTCAAGCCTGTGCAAGCTCCTGCTTCTGCTGCTGTTGTTGTTGTACTACTCTACGTCCTTATACTTTAATTATAAGAACCTGTAACGGAATCATAATTGCTCGCTGAGATCTAAGCGCCAACCGCAGTGCGGGTGTCAGCGGTGTGCGCGTGCGTTGGCCGTGCGTATGAGTGGCCTTTTTTCCAGTGTTGGAACTTGGTACTTGGAAGAGGAGGGTCGGGCGGAAGGAAGGATTGGTACCATTGTAGACGCAGGTGACGTAGAGGAGCCCCTCCCGCGGGCCCTTCTCCATGGCCTCCCTGGGCGTGGCGTACCCGGGGCCCTTCGCCGCGCAGCACCCCGCCCCGGCGCCGTTCGCCTTCGCCACCGCCGGCACCGCCGCGTCAGCCACCGCTGCGGCCATCTGTGATCTCAGGACGCCCAAATTAGTTAACCCCCTGCCTGAAGGAAAACGCCGCTCCCGGTGCCAGCCGCCGGAGAGCAGCTGACGGAGCAGGGAGCCGAGCTCAGTGCTGACTCACCGGAGGGTAGGAGTTCTCTTCTGCTGTGCGAGAGGGACAGAGGAAGGGAGCAGAGGAGAGGAGAGAGATGGTGGTGGGACTGCCCGCCCGGGAGACGGGGGTAATTATAGAGGGGAGGCTAACTTTGGCTGCCGCCACGTGGGCGGAGGGGATGCCGCGGGACGCGCCTCGCGATGCGTGCGGATGGCTATAGGAGGGAAGGGAGGCCGGAGGCGTGGCGAGTGAACCTGGGCCCGGGGCGTGGGCAGGGCGTCGTCGTATCTGGACGATAATGCGGGTGCCTGCGTGGCGGGCGGGATCGATCCGTCCACGAACTGGGGTTGGAGAAAGCTTGGACCGTCGATGGCGACGCAGCGAGCGGTTCGTGGCGGTGGCTCGGCGCGTCCCGATCCGGGGCCTCGCGGTCGCAGCCGTGAGCCGCCCGTCTTGGCCGGAGCCTGCGTGCGCCACGGGCCGTCCTGTGTGGGTGTGTGTGTCTGCGTGTGCAACGGACGCTGCAGCTTTGCATTTTTTCGAGCACGAAATTGGCACTTTATTTCGTAATACTACTCGTAACGTTCTTATATTTCTTCGCGAAGGAAGTATTTATCTAAATATGGATGTATCTAACACTAAAATGTGTCTAGACACATCCGTATCTGACAGATCAAAAACGAGCTTTTTGAGACGAAGAAAATACTAATGTACTCTCTCCGTCCGAAAAAACTTGTCCCAAACTTGTTCCTCAAATGAATGGAGTGCTAGATACATCCATTTGAGGAACAAACATTTTCAAACGGAGAGGGTACTCTTTAATATTAATCTATACTCCCTCCATCCCAAGTTATATTTGTATCTAAACAAATCAAACATAACATATGTACTCCTTCCGTTTTAAATTACTCGTCGCAGAAATAGTTATATCTAGAACCAAAATACATCTAGATACATCCATACTTGCGACAAGTAACTCGGAACGGAGGGAGTAATAGAGTACTGTATATCTCTATGCATGCATGGTCGGCCATTTTACGTTCCTGTCGTCTCGCCTTTCATGTTGAAAAATGAACACATCTGCTACCCAGGCCCGACCGCTCTGACAACTCGACGAGCCGATCTTACAGCCATTTGATTTGAGGGGTCTGATTAGACACTTTCTTCGTCTTTTTTATACAATGTCACTTTGTTTCTTTTTGTCAAAGCTTGACCTATAATTTTGGTCAACAAAATATGGGTTATATACTTATATGTCACAAAAAATGTATCATCGGAATTTTTTTTAAATGTGCATCCAATCGAGGGATGCTTTTACTGCAACGGAATTCTTCGTGCCATGCGTTTTAGCAACCCCGGGTCGACGAACGCCATACTCGGCTCTACCAACCGAGGATGGCTATGCCAACCAGCGGCTCGATCGTTACGTGCTCTGCTCTACCACTTCTCATCTCTTGGTCAGTGGTTACACTTTGCGATTTGCCTCTGAGTCAGCGATGCATATCCCAGGCCGTACGTGGCCTGATAAGGATGCATGCCCTAAAACACGTCAGCCAATAACGCACGACCGAAAATTCCAAACTCACACGATGGAGATCTGGTACTAGTATCAGATTTAAGCTATCTGTCCGGATGGCACGGATCTGCTAGCTAGCTGCCCATGATCAAATCAAGGACTTTGCGCGCTGCCAGCTTCCACGTCCATCACAAGGCGAGTAAAATAGCCCTGCATGCATGGTTATCTCGATCTCTGCCTCGCTGGAACTCCGTATTCGGACGTATAACGGCTGCTCTATAGTTTTGTTTTATCACCATGCGTTGCGCGCGGCCGGCGCAGATGGACTATCGATGCATTATCTCCGCTCACACGGTCAGCTGGCGGTCTGGCTGGCATGATTCCATTGGGTAAAGAGAACACAATGATCGGGCTCGGAAAGCTGAGCCAGGTTTGTGTGGAGAAGAGCATGATTAGTGAGGACGGGAGCCATCTGAGGGGTAAAGCGCAGCAGTTGACCGAGTGAAGATTGCTGTGCTAGCTGCAGAATCATAGAAAATCCAGTTGATTGACATCTCATCTGGCTGTAAATAATATACGTACTGTACTAGTCACTGTGCGTGGCATACGGAAGATTATTTTACCGGCCTGCGTACGCTGATCAATAAGTGGGTGTAGACAAACAACGTGCCTCGCGAATGTGACGGCCGGAGCAGATTTTTCACAGCGAGCATGTCTACGGAACGTGACTGCGACATGGCTTCATGCATGCGTGTGCCTACCTTCGGCGTTCGTCCTGTCGAATTGGCAATAGCTTCATGTTTCCGCGAGAGCTGTCAAATCAGTGACACGAACAGAGGAGAAAAGTACTCCCTCCGTTCCTAAATATAAGTCTTATAAGTCTTTTTAGAGATTCTACTATGGACTATATACGGATCAAAATGAGTGAATCTACACTCTAAAATATGTCTATATACATCCGTATGTAGTTTGTAGTGAAATCTCTAAAAAGACTTACATTTAAGAACGGAGGGAGTAAGTAGAAAACTAAGATGATGATTGGATACCGCCAAATTGGACCAATACTGTTCCGGACACGAGAATAGATTATGTTACGAGATCGACTACTTGCATGTATGCACCACAACATTTCTGGAGTGGGGAAGCCGCAAAGCAGAAGTCGGCAGCTTTTTTTCTTATCGTTATGCACCCAATAGGAGAGGAAAAATTTTGTTTTGCTACTTTAGATTTTGCCAATTTTTCTTTGTCATTTAAAATTTTGACATTTCACTTTTCCCCTCTTAGAGCATCTACCGTCGGACTTTGCAAATTCGGCTCCTCAAATGCCCGCGGACGTGATTGAGCGCGTCCGCGGACAGTGACCAGTCATATCTCAAATTAGCCACTCTGCATCTGTCTCTCTCATATTTCATCCCCTAGATCCATACAAATCATGTAAAGAAATCCTATGTACTACATATTATGTACTGTCCTAGATAGTCTCGTCGTCGGAGATGTCCATAATGACGGTGCCGGGCGACGGCTGGACGGGCGAGGAGGTGGGCTCCGGCTCATCCTCCTCCTGCTCGACCTCATCCGTGTAGGTGAGCATCTTCGCTTCCTCCGCGGCCTGCTACGTCTCCATCTCCTGCCAGCGACAGCGTCTTGCCTCCGCAGCCGACTCGGCCGACCGGAGGAAATCAAGGATGACCTGTGTTAGAAATATGTCCTAGAGGCAATAATAAATTGTTTGTTGTCATATTTCCTTGTTCATGATAAAGTTTTATTATTCATGCTAGAATTGTATTGACCTGAAACTTAAATACATGTGTGAATACATAAACAAATAATATGTCCCTAGTGAGCCTCTACTAGACTAGCTCGTTGATCAAAGATGGTTAAGGTTTCCTAACCATAGACATGAGTTTTCATTTGATAACGGGATCAAATCATTAGGAGAATAATGTGATGGACAAGACCCAATCGTAAGCTTAGCATTCGATCGTATCACTATCACTTGAGTTTATTGGTATAGTTTTTTTCATGTCAAGTATCTATTCCTAAGCCCATGAGATCATGCAACTCCCAGATACCGTAGGAATACCTTGTTTGTTATCAAACGTCACTTCATAACTAGGTGGTCACAAAGATACTCTACAGGTATTTCCGAATGTGTCTGTTGGGTTGGCATGGATCAAGACTGGGACTTGTTACTCCGTGTGACGGAGAGATATCTTTGGGCCATCTCGGTAATACAACATCATAAAGAGCTTGCAAGCAATGTGGCTAATGAGTTAGTCACAAGATCTTGTATTACGGAACGAGTAAAGAGACTAACCGCTAACGAGATTGAACTAGGTATGGAGATACCAACGATCGAATCTGGTCAAGTAACATATCGTCGAACAAAGGGAATTGCATACGGGATTAACGGAATACTTGACATCGTGGTTCAACCGATAGAAAATCTACGTGGAATATGTAGGAACTAATATGGACATCTAGGTTCTGCTATTGGTTATTCATTGAAGAGGTGTCTCGGTCATGGCTACATGATTCTCGAACCCGTAGGGTCTGCACGCTTAACGTTCGGTGATGCTAGAGTAATATTGGGATATGCATGTTGGTGACCGAATATTGTTCGGAGTCCCGGTTGAGATCCTGGACGTCATGAGGAGCTCCGAAATGGTCCGGAGGTAAAGATTTATATATGGAAAGTTGCTTTTAGGGTTCCAGAAAAAGTTTCAGTATTTCGGTATTGTACCGGGAAGCTTACAGAAGGTTCCGGAAACTTTCGGAGGAGTCCAGAAGTCCACCAAGGTTCCACCATGTCCCAAGGGTCGGCATGGGCTAAGGGGAGGCGCTCTAGCCTTATTGGGCCAGGCGCACAAGTCCCTCAAGGCCCATGTGGCTGGGAAAGGTGGAAAGTCCACCTGTGTATGGAAGGGAGGGGATTGGACTAGGAGTAACTCCTCCCCCTTGGTGCGCCAGCCCTAGGGCTTGGAGGGTTGGCCACCATGCCCCTCCACCTATATATAGGGGAAGGGGCACCCCAAGAGGAGACACAAGCCCTTGCCCCCCTCTCTCTCCCGTTACTTCGTAACTCCTCCGTCTTTTGGTTGTTTCGGTAGCGCTCGGTGTAGCCCTGCCGGAATCACTCTACCACCATCACCGTCATGTCGTCGTGCTGCCGAAGATCCCATCTACTTATCCTCCATCGCTTGCTGGATCAAGGAGGAGGAGACGTCATCGAGCCGTACGTGTGTTGAACGCAGAGGTGTCATCCGTTCGGTACTTCGTCGATTTGGATTGCAATAGGATCGTGACGAGTACGACTACATCAATCGTGTGATATACGCTCCTCTTAACGGTCTACGAGGGTACGTAGACACACTCTTCTCTCTCGTTGCTATG